GTAATTGATTATAATCCTATAAGAGTAGCAATAGAGACTTAGAGGAGGTAGGTAATCCCGTCCGGTGATGTTCTTCTATTGTTCTTTACGTTCACATCCAAGCTGACCTCCGGCTGTATTACTGTATTACATGACATGCTTACACTGTACTGCTGTCAACCGGAAGAAGGAGGTGTGGATAGGCTTCAAGTGGAGTTTTCACAAAGTGTTGTTTTTCCTTTAAACGTCTCTCTAAATTGGAATCTCAAATGTTACTAAAGCAGTACATGGTAGGCCTTTAGGAATTCTAACAGTGAATAATAATTCAATACCTGAAGTCTTAGGTCAGTGTTACACCCAATCTGTGACTCAATGTTTCTGAACGATGCCAAAATGTCACCAGGTTTGGCCAGTAAGCCTTTACAGATGGGATGGCAGTGATCAAAGCCAAATATGACCACAATATTATCATTCTGCCTGCACGCAACTATCCAATGTTAATTTAGTTTGGAGTTCACGTCTAGTCTTCCAAACATAATCAAGAGACATGTAATCTGCAACATGTCTTACAACGCACCCCATTCATTTTTTTAGGCTGCCGTGTTTATGAATCATTCCACAATGACTAAGTTGTCTTTATTGTCAGCATATTGCCCTTTTGAAAGTCCTATAAAAATCCCCCTCTGGATTTGAACATTTCATTTGAATGAGTAGAGTCCCTGATGAAAAGGCTTTTCCAAAAGAACCTCCCTTTCCTTACAACTGAATTATCCAAAAGACATCCTTCAGATCCCCATGAGCCTCTTTCCTTGCAGGATCAATGGGTGTTTCTGTGTATGTCTAACTGAATCAGGCTATTTCATCCCATTAGTCCATTCTGGTAGAGGACACCATCTGTTAGCTGTTAGGAGCTTGGGAGGAGACCACCGCCCTAACTGAACTTTCGAACATTGCCTGTTTTAACTCTTCCAATAACCTCCAAAATGGGAACTGACCTTCCCTCGGCCCATCACCTGCTGTCATCAGAAAACTGGACGCACAACCTGCATGGCCCACTCAGCTAACGTCCATAAATCACTCAAGTGAAGCAGTTATACCTGTGTTTGGACGAACCGCATGCTGATCAGGTTTTGCAGCCCTGCAATAGGAACATATATGTCATCTACCAAAGATACAACATCCATGTGTGTGTATGTGTGTGTGTGTGTGGGCGTGGGCATCTGGTCTGGTTCAGCTCCTGTACACATAACTAGAGGATTAACTAAACAGCTCACTAATCTAATGAGGACACTTTAGCGAGTCCTGCAGTTTCCAGAGCTAAAGTAGGACATTTAGTTTAGTAACAGATTCAGATTGTTGTGATGTAACTATTAAAGGTAATCCCTTTGTTTTAGATTAACACTAAACTATCCAGATATAACTTTGAGATGTGAGGCTAGGACAAAAATGTCAAGTTTAAAACAAAATCCTTAATATCTACCAATTCTTTGTATCACAAGCCATAAGATTCTACAGATCCACTCATTTAACTTTCACTTTGCCATCATACTTAGATTGTTTTTCTGTGCATTGAGAGATTTAAATGTGTATGATATTAACACTTTTTTTGGTTTAGCTGAAATGGCTAAACTTGACCATCTGGCACAGGGTTGAGCAAGGATTTCAGAAATAAATTAAGTAATGAGTGCAAATTCCCAAAGCTGCAACCACATCCAGCAAGATTTTAACACACCACCAGCAGAACGGAATTACAAAGATAACTTACATTTATTAATTCAACTATTAAATTATATCTTTTATTAATTGCATCACCCTACCATATTGTCAGAATATTGATTCAAAGCATTCATTACTAAGCCAGGGATGTTATTCTGGCAGAGATTCTGGCAGCACATTTTTTACTTCAAGACATTTAATTGAAAAAGCTCAGAATCACTTTTATAAAATGTCTAATATTAAGGATGTTAATCTTTTTTATTAAACTGCACACATTCCCAGAAGAATTTACAAAAAAATACGTTTATACCTTTGGCCCACATCTGATCACTCTCGTCTTTGCGCTGCAGTAGTTTTGCCACATCCACACAACTCACAGTATGTAAACTTACAAAAAAAACAACAGGATTGATTAGATTGAAAAAGCCATGTTGTAAGAAGAAATGAAAATGTTCTGTATGACCTCAAGTAATACTTGTACTGTAATACATAACACATATAGAAAGATGTTTTTGTTCATGTATATTTGCCTTTGTTTGGTAATTTGATATCTGAGGACATAACTGCCACCCACTTGTGTCACTTAGGAGACCCCGGTTTTGGAGATCACCATGGTGACCAGTCTTTGCCAAGAGGTGCACACACCAATAAGTACACATCTCCTGTTTGACTAGAGTGCATATCAATTATTAATGGCCTCTGCTCACTAAATGAATTCCCAGTCTTGTATTAGACAATCTTTTAAATGATCAAACATGAGCTGCCCTTCTGAGTGACTCCTCTTGTCTTATCATTATCAACATTTGCACAATGTGATCTTGGTACTTCTTTACAGGAAATGTGAACCTACAAAAATCTGCAAAAAAGAAAATACTTAAATAAATCTAACGCATGTAAAAGCTTCAAAAGTCTATGAGTGGCTGAGCGTGGGTGGATGTGCCATTGTTATACTGGAAGTTGTATTACATTTACATCTACAGGTGCTTTTCTAGTGGCACATTAGCATTATGCAACAAATTCTGCTCAACAGGGGATGCAACAAAAGATGCAGAGTTAATGGTTAAAGACATGAAGGAGTCTTTGATTTAGTGTGTGTGTGTACGTGTGAGTTTTTGGTTTGTGTGTTTACGTGGAGAAGGGAACAGAGACGGCCCCACAAGTGCCAGACTGAGCGTTCTTGATAAGTAAGCGACTGTGCGATTATGCAATGATCGTGACCATGCCAATGATAGACAATGAAAGAACATAGAGACAGAACAGGAGGCATAGAGGACAGTGTGACTGGTTTGGATGGATTCATGAGAAAAGAAAAAGAAACACCACTGAGAGAAAAAATATGCATTGCATTGCAAGATAAAGTTGAGTTATTTGGTATGTGTTTGCAGTTTGTTGGACGGAAACTTTTATGGTGTTCAAGTTGGGCTTTATGCTACTAGTAAGCATGCAGTACACTATATTTGGAGGGGGTCAGCCAATGTGTGCATGCATTTAGAGAATGCTTAGGTATCCATGACACACATACATGCACTTTGGCCTTGCACCTGTAACATTGTAACCTTAGCAGACTGTGTGTGTTTATGTGTGTGTGAGTGTGCCTCAGGACCTAAACTTGGTTAACAGAAGACTATTAACTCCTTGCCTTCTCTAACTTGTTTATCCTTTGGGCCTATAGACAAGGACGATAATTCACTGATAAATTGATAGGTGTAGCTATAACATTTTCCTAAATAAACTACATTGCATGGATGCAAAGATTTGCTTCCATTCAGCCCGACAGACATTGGTGAAGCTGGACACTGACGTTGGGCTCGCAGTTGGAATTCCAGGTCATCCTGGAGTACTTAGATGAGATCGAGGTCAAGACTTTGTACAGGCCAGCCAAGGTCTTACACACCATTTCTTTATGCCTTCTCATTGTTTGCAGATGCATTTTCATGCTAAATGCCTTCCCCAAAATCTTGCCACAAAGTCGGAAACAAGTCTCAGACCCCGTTTACACGAGCACGATACGGGTTGTATCCGCATAGTTTCTCTTGCGTATAGCCCTTTCGTTTACACGAGGCCGTAAACAAAACGATAGAAAAGGACCGCGCAAACGATAACGGGTCCCAAGGTGGATAGATCTGCAAACGGAACGCTCTGGGGGTTCAAACGGCTCCGTGTGTACGCCCTATACGATCATTTTCTGATTACGATGAAATAGCCCCGCCTCCCTCTCCCCACGTCTCTCTCTCCCCGCCTCTCCTGCTCAGAGATCAGCTGCTGGGCTGNGACTACCCTCATAAAGGATTCATAAAGGGTTTATAATTAGGTTATGAATTAGGTTGTAAACACTTTATTAATCATTAAGAACCATTTATAAACCAGTTCTAACAAGAACTGGTTTATAAATGGTTCTTAATGATTAATAAAGTGTTTACAACCTAATTCATAACCTAATTATAAACCCTTTATGAATCCTTTATGAGGGTAGTCTTATTGTAAAGTGGTACTGTGTATTCTGGTATAAAAACACTATGGAGTTTATCAGTGCATTGGCCTGAATCAGTCAAATAAATATGTCAGATTTGGAAGTGATTGCTCCACACAAGAAACTATTTAATGCTCTTATCAACAACACATCAGATGTATTGTCTTGATACTTGTGAGTTGCAAGTGTCAACAAAATGCTCTAACTCTGTTCACTGTTTGTCATCATGTTATCTTTCTAAGGATTTACACAATTTCATTTAATGTATGTTAGATCTGTTATTGTATTTTGTGAAGGTATGTTTCCACTCTTTCATATTTGCAATGAGGCATTCTGTCTCTCTTGTATCCAGAGAAATTATCATTCTTCACGGCAACACATATTACTGTTTAATGTTACTCTACCTGACTAAAGTCAAAATCATTGGGAGCCACAGTTGCATTAAGCATTCATGTGATTCACTGTGCAACACTGAGAGGGATTTCAATAAAATGCCAACTTTTGAAATGGATTTCTACTGAACGCCTGCTCGTCGCACTGTGTATTTTAGGGGCTTTAAATATTGGTGGTAATAAAAATGAAGCTTGCTGGATGATATGAATGCTCAATTAATCAGTGAACCATGACGGCTTGAAAAAGCTCTCACGTCAAGCTCTCTCAAGGTTGTCATTCTGCAAGGTGTGTATGTTTGCTGATAAGCGAGTCCACAGAAAACCGCCTTGGCAATTGCATATTTAGCAGAGACATTTGAAGTGGATTTTCTTTTATAACTAAACAGAGAAAAGAAGTGTCGCTTTGCATGTGCAAGACACACTTTGATGTGTGGTTGTTTAAGCTTCATGGTCAGCGCAGAAGTTGAGTATATTCTCAGTAAAAATCTTAATTGCAGTCAGCACACTGTGGTCAGCACACTGTGGTTCAGGTTGTGCTCATGTGCTCACTCTCTCTCTCTCTCTCTCTCTCTCTC